CCTATACAATTTTAAACAGATCAAATTTAGAGGTYTCCTAAATTGTTTAGACTATCTCTGATTTGAAAAAAATAGTGATTTTATTCTTTAATAGAGTATGTTAGATATCTACTCTTTAATACTAATAATACTTAATTATATTAAGTATTCTAATTCTATGGACTATTGTTTACTATATACAGCTTTAAAAAACAATTTCTTTTAGTAATATAAATAGCAAGTAGTACAATATTATGTTCATTCTAGTAACTGATAAATACTGACACTTGATACCTATGATGTGTCTCCACTCAGAGTGGTTTTTCGTATTTAATGATTCAAAATTGGGTTCAAAGTTAATCCATCCATTTTCAACGACCATGTATACTTATGAAATCTTCAACCTATCATAAAAATTGTGACTTTGCTAGGTTAAAAAAATATGTATAGATATAGATACATAATATATTCTGTGGCTAGTCACCTAATTAAAAAGTAATGATACCAAGTACCAACTGTACAAATAAAGAGCACCTAATAAATTTARCAATGCACAAACTATACGTCATACCGCATATTTACCAAATCGATATTTAATTGTTAAATTGAAATGTCGAAACCAATTAATGATATCTGTTAACATATTTTAAAGAACGAGAATGACGAAAACGCCGAGAATCCGAATCTTAAAATTAACACTATAGGTAGTTTATTATTTATAAGCAGTGTTTATGTAAGTTTATGCATTTGTATACCAATTATTTTAAGTCATATTTAATGTTAGATGACATAGAAATCCATTTCAAGGTAAAGGTACTAGGTATGGTTAAATAAATGAAATTTTATTTTTCATGTTTTGAGGTTTTTGCATTTTTGAAATATTTAGGTAGGTATCCGTTTTACCATTTTATTGAGCACGTTTGCACAATAGTGTATATTTGGCAAACATTTGATGAAAAATTCAATAATTTATATTTTTACAGTATATAAAATATCTGGGAAATGTCACAACGTAAAATTAATAAAAATAAAAGCTAATAGCCTGTGTCTTATAATGTAGTTGTGTACGCATTAAGCAATAATTAGGGAAATCATGTTATATATTATACGATTATACTCGTACTATTAATTTTTTTTAAGAGATAAAATAAGTATTATAATTAAACTATTTTATGATTGAAAATTCATAACGCTTTCAATTTTCGTACTCTAGGTTTAAAAATTCAATACAATATACCTCATATTTTCTTATAATTCTTCATAAAATTCGAGATTACGTCATACCATAGTCAAGATATAATAACCGTTTGAAATTAAAATGTCTATTCAATTATTTGTATTTAAACATTATGTATAATTTTAAGTACTTAAATATTGAATATGACCCAATTGTTTTAAAGTGGTTACCACAAACAGCTTTTTTGTTTTATTTTTATAAATATTTCATAATATTCATTGGTAGGTATACTATTAACTCGTTCAGTTGATTTTCACTTTCGGCTGATCTCACTGGTAACAGTTTATCAAAATCCATTAAAAAATCAATGTAGCCAAGTGCTATTAATGATATAAAATACCCAATTTTTAGTTATCAAATTTATATATATTTATGTTTTAAATTAACTTTACACAATAGTGTATCTTTAAAGTTTTTGTCACTCATACGCGACCTTTTTTTAGAACAAAATATGTCAC